TGATTGCACAGACACTATTGGAAGAGAGCTGAACTGGATGAGGACGTCACTTAATCATCAATGAACTGACTTTAGCTGGAAAAAACGACTCCGTTATTGTCTTCTTGCATTATTGACAATCTATTTTCCTGTTTAACACCATAAAGCTGCTTTGACACAACCAGTATTGTATAAAGTGCTATAGAAATAAAGGTGACTTGACTTGACTTAAAAAAACATGTTATAGTACAAGTATGCAAATGAGTATATATTATGTAAATGAATACTATACTTACCTTCACAGATCATAAATAGTGCTGCCACGAACATGCATTTATGTAAGTGCATGTTGAAATGCAAAATCACGCAAAACATTATTTATCTGCTGTAACTGAAAAACAACTCTGTTTCAGACATTATGTGAAGCAGCCGCACGTAGAGTTATCTCTGCTTTCACTTTCTTTTAAAAAAAACTTTTAGAAACTTCCTGTAACTATGCGGGGGGGAGGGGCATCAGAAAGTGTGAAAGCAAAGAATATTATGATGAAATGTAATCAGAAAACATTCAAATAGAAAAGTAATTCTACATTCAGCCTCAGACACTGTTTAGAAACAGATTAAATGGAAAAATGCCTATAATGCCTATAGACGTCACGAAAAATACGAATATGAACAGAAAACTTTATTTTTATTCTTATTTTATTTTTTAAGTAATTTGGTGCATCTATAGCCCTCTTTACATCAGAGGATAAGTTTATGCAACTAACGCAGAGGATAAGTTTATGCAACTAACGCAGAGGATAAGTTTATGCAACTAACGCAGAGCATGAGTTTATGCAACTAACGCAGAGGATAAGTTTATGCAACTAACGCAGAGGATAAGTTTATGCAACGAAGGTTGTGGGTTCGAGTCTCGTACCAGCAGGGATTGTAGGTGGGGGGAGTGAATGTACAGCGCTCTCTTCCACCTTCAATACCACAACTGAGGTGCCCTTGAGCAAGGCACCGAACCCCCAACTGCTCCCCGGGCGCCGCAGCAAAATAATGGCTGCCCACTGCTCCGGGTGTGTGTTCACAGTGTGTGTGTGTGTGTGTGTTCACTGCTGTGTGTGTGCACTTTGGATGGGATAAACGCAGAGCACTAATTCAGAGTATGGGTCACCATACTTGGCCACGTCACGTCACTTTCACTTTTTTTTTTCTTTCACTAACACCAGATTATGCAACTGGCCCCAGCTCTTAAGTCTTGACAAAAGAACTGCTGAGATTTTAAAACAAAGGTCATAACATGAATAAACTCTATAAAAAGTCATTTGTTTTTCTTTACACCTGCTTTCTTCTCTAAGATATTTTTTAGAACTTAAAAAAACTAAATCTGAATTTGTGGTACACAACAGCTGCCATGAGATAAGAGGATGAGCATATCAAATACAGACTATCATGGTGCAAATCAAAGAGTTGTTGTTCGGTGTAGACTTCATTGATTATAATGGGAGTGTTCAAAGAGTGCTGATATGTAGCCTAACCTTAGCCTGCCAAACAAAGTGTTTATCATCCATCTTAGCCTATATGAAACCTTCAATACATGTTTGGTTTAGAGATTCACTTGCATTGAAAAATAATGTTCAGCTACTATCTGTAGTAACCATAAAATATCTTGCAAGTTAAAAATATGGTTGATAATGACTAGAAACACAACAAGGATATTTTTGGCAAAACAATAAGAAGAACTTGAGCGTGCAGCTGGTGTTGGAGTTGTGTGATGACCTCTGACAAAGACATTTGTCACCTAATGATAAACTGATCATGAGGACTGCAAGAAAAGTTGTCCTGAAAGAGATGTAGTAACTGAAGTAAGCAAAAGCCTATTTACATCATTTACTATGATGAGGCACGCATTTGTGAATCGCGTCCTGTGCATTTGTAGATAGCGCACGCATTTGTGAATCGCGTCCTGTGCATTTGTAGATAGCTGCACGCATTTGTGAATCGTGTCCTGTGCACTTGTAGATAGCTGCACGCGTTTGTGAATCGTGTCCTGTGCATTTGTAGACAGGACGCGATTCACAAATGTGTGCAGCTATCTACAAATGCACAGGACGCCATTCACAAATGCGTGCAGCTATCTACAAGTGCACAGGACACGATTCACAAATGTGTGCAGCTATCTACAAATGCACAGGACGCCATTCACAAATGCGTGCAGCTATCTACAAGTGCACAGGACACGATTCACAAATGCGTGCAGCTATCTACAAATGCACAGGACGCCATTCACAAATAAATGCCAGGCAAAGTTGTGGTTGTGACATAAATATATATTTGTGAATATGTTTTTTATTTGCAAATCTCATTCTATTTATTTGTGGATCATAATCTATTTATTTGGAATTAAGCAACAATTCTACCCCCATAAAGTGTGCAGCTGGTGTTGGAGTTGTGTGATGACCTCTGACGAAGACATTTGTCACCTAATGATAAACTGATCATGAGGACTGCAAGAAAAGTTGTCCTGAAAGAGATGTAGTAACTGAAGTAAGCAAAAGCCTATTTACATCATTTACTATGATGAGAAAACTGGCTTCTGTGAAAGCTGTGCCACTGCTCGAATGTATTAGTTACGAGTCAACCCTTTAAATACTATAAAACACCGTTGCACTGTATGTTACCAAAACACTTGCATTGTTCCTGTCGCACAACAAAGTCATAGTGGTGCAAACCAGGAATTGACTGCCGCGTACACGTGGACTACACTACCCACAATGCCCTATTGTAAACAGGAAGTGCGTCACGGAATTTCAAACCCTTAGAGCTCACAGCTCGGACTGCTTCACCACAGTGTTTCAAAACGATGTAAATAACAGTGTTTTATTTATTAGTCCTTCTCTAGAATTACAGCGGGGGTTTATTTATCGGGTCTGGTCGTAGAGACGCCGGATCTTTGACTCCGAGGAACTCATTCATCAACACTAAAGCTCTCCCCGTCCAGAACACAGGTCTGAGGATTGAGAAGTAACGTTAAAATCAAGTCCTGTCTGTATCCCTAGCATCCAGACAAAACCAGAACCGGACCCAGCAGTGGAAGTGGATCTTTAACGGCTCCAGAGCAGCATTTTAATGATGATCAGCTGATCCGCGCCTGGTTTCCATTGGTAACGGACAAGCGCACAGATTTCACCGTAAACAGTCAGTTTCTCTTGCCGGGGATCAGACATGGTAAAAATTACTTTTCTTATTAAAAAAAGCACAGTACACATGTAAAGTCCAATCTATAGTGAGGCGAACAAGAGGGGTGTAGGGCGGAGGCGTATCTACTAACTGTTACTGTTAGTAGTAACAGAACTTAATAACATCAATTAATAATAACGGTATTTAATACAATTATTTTAGACAGCTTGTAATCAAAAGTTGTTGCTATTTAATTTGTAATCTAGGATTAATTATGTACAATATGTATAATTGCTTTATGTATTATTATAAATCAGTGCATGTTGCTACAAATCCGGGTCACGTGACATTAACGCCTTTATTCTGTGGTGTAGTAATACAATAAAACACGTATAGTAAAGCATTGTTATAGTAAAATAAATGACATGGACATTTATGCACAAATAAAGTTATCAGAAGAGACTGTAAAATGCATTAAAAGGTGCTTAATGGTCTCATCTTCATTTTTGCAGACTTCAAAACAGAAGAAGGGGCTCAGAAGTGAGTTTTTGTTCAGCTCATATCGGTGTTTAATTACTGTGTTATATGAACTGTGATATTTCATTCTTTCAGGCTCCATCGATGACGTGTTAGGAGATCTGCTGGGTGGTGATGATGAGGATGAAGGTATTATTCACTGATCCAGTCACAGTATTTTCATAGAGCTGAATGTGTTTACCTGTTGTAAAGGCGAGTGTCTTTGGTCCACAGGTCCGGTGAAGGTGAAGGTGCGATCCCCTGCTGCTGTGTCCAGCAGACCTGCAGCCGTCCTCCCGTCCCGCAGCGGGAAGAGGTGAGCTTGTGCTGAGCTTCATTTGGGTTACAGTACCTAATACACAAGAACATATACACAGCTGTTTACCACAAACCATGTGTAATGAACATCAACAGAGACTCAGATAAAGCAGCAAGCCTGTCTCATAAACGTCTCATAACGCTGCTCTCTTTGTGTTCAGGTCGCTGCTGGACGATGATTTCTTCAGTAAACTGGCAGAAGACGCTGAGAGAGACGATGAGGTGAGACACTCTCAGATTAAAAGCATCCAAAAGTGTATGTGACTGTAAATCTGGGTAATTTGTGATACATTTATTTGTGTGTAAAATAGTGATCGACCGATATTGATATTTTATAACCGATACCAATTATTTGCATGTTTATGTGCCCGATAACCGATATGCAGAACCGATATTTATTTACTGTTATAAAGTAAATAATTGACTGAGTGAAGTAAGTCCATACTTCACTTTGGTTTTTAGCGAAATAATGGTTATATAGTAAATGTTAATACAATTTAGGGTGTTTTAAACAAGTGAATACAAGTTACATGCTGTGGCCGTGCTGGAGCATTTCCTGAGCATCAATCCGGTGAGTGAACAGCAATATGAAAGCGGCTTCACGAGACTAATGATGAGCATAGACAACAGACAGAGAATTAAATTCAACGCTTTTATTTCCAACATGCACTCATTCATGGCTGTATTATTTAATTAATGCAAAGTTACGTCTTTATTGGGAGAGGACTTGACGGATTATCTTAGCCTACGTAACTCCGAGTTCATGAGACGATGAGCATATAGACAACAGAGAGCTAATTAAATTCAGCACTTTTATTTCCAACATGCGCCCATTCATGGCTGAATATTAGTTCATTCACGCAAAGTTACGTCTTTATTGGGACAGGACTTGACGGATTATTTTACGTGACTCCGCGAGTTCGTCTCTATTTCTTCGAGCCAAGCTGCATAAACTGCATATCAGGCATTTATGTAATACATCTAATTTGTGCATTAATGGCTGTTATGTTAAATAAAGTTTACTAATTACAGTAAATCAAGTACCCGTGGACGCCGTTGTTGTTGTCTTGTTTCCCCTCAGATGCGCTGCAATGGCGATCCCGCACGCAATTCTCAAAACATCCACAAGATGGCTGCGTTTATCGTGAATCCGATATTACAAAACCGATATCCGATTATTGTAAAATGCTTAAATATCGGGAATAATATCGGTAAATCGATATATCGGTCGATCTCTAGTGTATAATTCTCGATTACAGTGAATACAGAAAAATAAATAACTCGTACTAGAAACGGTGCAGAAATCACACTTTAAATTACCAGTTGTTTTCATTTTTATGTAAAAAAAAAAATAAAAAATTATAAAAGAACTTTAAAACTATAGAGAATACTGAAGGCAAAAGAATGAAAAAGCACTTTATTTTAGTGTCTTGGTTACATGTTGCATGCACTTACTATAGTAATAACAGTAAATGATGCATAATAACATGCAGCTAACCATAAACCAAACCATAATCCTGACTCTGTAGTAAGTGCATGTTGTTAAATGTATAATTACGCTGTAACAAGGACACCTTAAAGTGTAACCATATATTTTTATCCCATTTATTTGCGGGCAAAATTCTCTATTACATGCATTAATACAAGCAAAATAATCAGATTAATCTGCAGATTTTAGCGAAATAATGGTTATATAGTAAATGTTAATACAATTTAGGGTGTTTTAAACAAGTGAATACAAGTTACATGCTGTGGCCGTGCTGGAGCATTTCCTGAGCATCAATCCGGTGAGTGAACAGCAATATGAAAGCGGCTTCACGAGACTAATGATAATGGCTGTTATGTTAAATAAAGTTTACTAATTACAGTAAATCAAGTACCCGTGCACGCCGTTGTTGTTGTCTTGTTTCCCCTCAGATGCGCTGCAATGGCGATCCCGCGCGCAATTCTCAAAACATCCACAAGATGGCTGCGTTTATCGGTGAATCCGATATTACAAAACCGATATCCGATTATTGTAAAATGCTTAAATATCGGGAATAATATCGGTAAATCGATATATCGGTCGATCTCTAGTGTAAAATTCTCTATTACACTGAATACAGAAAAATAAATAACTCGTACTAGAAACGGTGCAGAAATCACACTTTAAATTACCAGTTGTTTTCATTTTTATGTAAAAAAAAATAAAAAATTATAAAAGAACTTTAAAACTATAGAGAATACTGAAGACAAAAGAATGAAAAAGCACTTTATTTTAGTGTCTTGGTTACATGTTGCATGCACTTACTATAGTAATAACAGTAAATTATGCATAATAACACGCAACTAACCATAAACCAAACCATAATCCTGACTCTGTAGTAAGTGCATGTTGTTAAATGTATAATTACGCTGTAACAAGGACACCTTAAAGTGTAACCATATATTTTTATCCCATTTATTTGCGGGCAAAATTCTCTATTACATGCATTAATACAAGCAAAATAATCAGATTAATCTGCAGATAAATCCAGATTCAATGTCCACTAAAACTTCCAAAACTTTAATGTCTGTAAATTTGGCTTTCTGTGTGTTGTATTATGGGTTGTATTATTGTGTGTGTGTGTGATTGTGATTGTGTTGTGCCTCAGGGCTCTGACGTGTCCGAGGCCGATCCTGCCGCTCTGCTCGACAGCATGAAGGTGAATCAAGATGCTGCTGCTGCTTTCTGATTGGCTGAAATATGAGATGACATCATTCTGATTTTGTTCGTTACAGAACATGGATGACATGGATGCAGATCTGTTCGACTCGCAGAAGAAGCCGAGCTCAGCTCCTGTTCAGAGGAAGGACTCCAAAAGAACAGGGTCTTCTAAAGCAGGAGACAAGAGCAAAACCACAGGTGCGTTTCTGTACACGGAGCTTTTAACAAACGATACGACTGTTTTTAAACTCTTTAATGTGTTTTTGCAGACGAGATGGTTCCTGAGGTGAAAAAGCCCAGTTCTGCTCCGGCCTCCACAACGAGAACTTACAAGAAGTTCAGCTTTCTGGGTAAGTGCAAAACCACAGCTCTCTTGAGAGCATCTGATCGCTCAAATGGCTTCATTGGGGTCTCGAGGAATGATTTTCTCCATTTGCTCTGTTTTCACGCTGCATGTGGTTCAGATGATGAAGGTGGAGGTCTCGATCCTCCTCCTGATGAAGGTATCACAACACAGCGGGACAGTTGAGCTTTTAGCAACAACAAAAAAAAAGACCTCTGGAAACCCTGGAGTTAAACATGGCGGCTGTTCTTTATGATTCACAGATAAAGTGGACGATTCGTTAGATGATTTATTGGATGACCTGGAACACAAGCAGAAGACGACAACGGAGAAAAAGAAAAGTGAGCCGCCGTCCTCTTCCTCTCCAGCCGCTCCTCAGAAAACAGAGACGGGTGAGAAAACGGTGACGTCTTAGAGATCTGGCTCACTATAACTGAAGATAAACCCAGCGGTCGCTCTGTGACGTCTCTCTCTGTTTTATATGCATTTTAGCAGCATCTCCAGCAGCCGCTGTGAAGAAGAGGGAAGATCTGATGTTTGATGATGGTGAAGATGATCTGATGGATGCTCTGGGTTTTGGAGAAACACACAAAACACAAGGAAACGGAAAGACACAGAAAAAAGACAGGTAGAGTATGTCTGCACACCTCTGCTGGCTGAATACTGGGAGCGTTTAGGAGGTTTGGATGAAACCGGGTTTGTCTGAGCTGCCTTAAATGTCCCATTTATACCAACATTTTAATAAATAATATGGGACCATTAAAAAAAAATGTTACTCTGTTACTTTTAGATTATACATAGTTTATAGCCATAACTGTACTTTATTTAAAACTGCTTTGAAATGATGCACTACATAAAAAAAATTGACTTGACATTAAGCATTACATTATTTAATTTATTGTTAATGTATACGTTATTATTATTATTATCTAAATAATTCGAAAATATTGCAGGTTCATTCAATAATCAGTGCCTTTTTCATTTCCAGGTAATTTTTGTAAGCTTTTAAGACAAGCACAAAAAGAGTCTTTAAAGGGGTCATATGATGCTGCTAAAAAGAACATTATTTTGTGTATTTGGTGTAATGAAATGGGTTTAAGGTTCAAAAAACACATTATTTTCCACATACATTACATTATTGTTTCTCCTCTATGCCCTGCCTTTCTGAAACGCGT